CAGCAGACAGCATCAACACAGCTGTGGCTACCTTGTTTGAGATCACCCATTTCTTCCCTTTCCGATCTCTGTCTGCTGCCTTCTTGCATTTGTGACTTCAATAAGGGATGATCAGAAATAGGGCAGGAGGACTCAAAGGATATGCTGTCAGAATTGGGGTTTCCTCCCAAGTTCAAGGTAGCAAGGGACCAAGCATGTGGTTCAGTGGTAGGGCATGTGCGCGCGCTGCGCGCACACACACACACACACACACACACACACACACACACAGTGTAAGAAGCCACAGGAAAAAAAAATAAGTTAGGGAGCTGTAAAGGCAACTTACTCCTCGAAGGTGTATAATATTTCAAGTGAAACTAGAGTTTGTGAAATCTATTTTATCTATGAACATGGGAAAAACACAACCCAGGTCAGGGCTTGGCACTAGGAAGGGGAAGTCTTGGAAGTTCAGAGAGGTCATTTGTTACATTCAACAGGGTCTAGGACCTAGACTTCTGATGTTATTTCCAAATGTAGTTACAGGTAGAACCACAGAGGACACTAACAGGATCTAAACGATGCTGCTCACAGCTCAGCTCTGAATGTCCCATTCGAGTCTCATTGGAGTTGCCTGGAGTGCACGTTCTCAAGACATCTTACATGTTTACAAATCATGAAAGTATTTTATCCATCACATCATTTTGTTTATTGTCCCCTTTTCTGTTAATTTTTTTATTCTTTTCTGCTAAAAAGTTTTAAGTTTGGAAATAATACACGTGTACCATTTGCCATGGTTATAATCCTGTAATTCTCTCTCCTTTTTTTATGTAGTAATAATCTCAAAAAAGAAAGGTCCAGACATTACCAACTTTCCTATCTTTGCACTGTTGAAGTAGACAGGAACCCTCATGGGCACAAGAGATAGGTAGATTCTCAAGTTCTCAATTCACATTTTGTAGAAGCAAAAATATATCTCCTCACTCTCTTGTCAACAATGTATGGAGTACACCCATCCCTTGTCCCCATCCCCTAAACCCACCAGCTGTGGGGTGATACCATGACAACTCCAAAACTGAACTGGCCACTGGCCTGTGTCCTACATGAGCAAAAGCCTTCTTACCATATAAGCAAGGGCTAGTAGCATGGCTCAAGTGGTAGAGTACCTGCAGGTGCAAGGCCCTGAGTTCAAACCCTGGTACTGGAACAAAAAATAAAAGTAAAAACCATACCACCAAACAGCAACAACACATGAAGAAGAGAATTCTTTAAAAATGCCATCCTCATGACAAGTGGGAAACCAGACCCTGACCATTGCAGCAACCTAATGAAAGGGCCTCTTCCTTCTCTGACTTAGGGAGATCACCTCTTTATTGGTGCAGCCCCACACACCCCTTTCTTCACCTCTCCCCTTCTTCTTGAGAAGAAAATTCCCTTAAAGCTTTTGCCTGAGTATTCGTTCTCCCTATATCTCAGTTCTTATTTTTATTATTACAGTGCAAAGTCCCTCACATCCTGTAACAATGTTATGACTCAATGAGTGCTGATATTTTTGCTATTAGAGGCCCCTTTTGATTTTGAGCTTGAGGCCAGCATGAGCTACCTAGGGAGGCCCAATCTCAAAAAAAGTGCCCCTTTTATTCTTTTCCCCCTTATACCCTAGGCATTTTCTAACAAAGATTATACATTAAGTAACTAGTTTAGTCTGTTATTGGTCAAATATATGCATGATTTTTCTAGTGCCTGGTAGTCATGTAGTTTCACTCAATCAACAAACACTTATTGTGCAACTACTGTATCCCATTTGTGGACAGAAGGATGAATAGAACACAATTCACAATTCCCATGTGGTTCAAGGACGGTTGGGATTACAGCTGTGCATAGTCACACCTGCTACAATTAAGTTTTTAAAAGGAACAGTCCTTGTGTGGCTCTGTCTCTGTCTCTGTCTCTCTCTCTCCCCCTGCACCCCCCTGATACAAGGTCTTGCCACATAATCAGCAAATACAATGATAGCAGTGCATTTTGGGAAATGAGATCTCTGAAACACTGATCCTTTTTCTAATGGGCCAACCCTTCATCTGGATTTTAATATTGCTCAGATAGTTTCTGTAGTACGAGTCATTTCATTGCCAATGTGACAATACTGTTAATAATAATCTAAAGACAGTGCAGACTCTCACTGATGCATTTGCTGTTGAGTATAAACCTGCACCATGGGCAGTAGGACTTTTCTATGGGTAAATGTGTTGTGTCTGACTTTTCAAGGGTTACTTGCTCACTTCATCTGTCCCTGCTTGTATCTTTGTACCAAGACAAGAATGTGACTTAAGCTTCACGAGCCCAAGGGGATGATATTAACCAGGTTCATGTTCCCTTCCACTTCACAGGGAAGTTTGACTGTTTTCCTGCACTAAAAAAGCTTAGAGACAGTGCGTGGTAGCATTCGACAGCTGGGTATACTAACTATTGGGCAAAGACTCAGTCAGGGTCACTTTTTGGTGAGATTGTGTGAAACATTTTTAAAATTTTTAAATGTAGCTTATTGGTAGAATGTGTGCCTAGCATGTGCTAGCCAAGGTCTTGGGTTGATCTCCAATACTGCAAAATAAATAAATAAGCAAATAAATAAGTAAATTTGTGACAAAGAACTATAATATATAGAAAGAACTGTGAAAAAATTTAAACAGGTACACAAGGAGAGCAGAACAGATGGGTGGCAGGAGTCAGCTTTTCATTATTATGACAAAATACCTGAGGCAGGCTTAACTTTATAAAGAAAAGAGGCTTCCTTAGCTCACAACTTGGGAGGTTGAAGGGTGTGGTGCTAGCTTCAGCTCAGTTCTGGTGATGGCCTCCTTGCTGGCAAATGACATTGCATGGCAAAAGACAGGGAACACACACCTCTATGACAGCACTAGGGTTTGAATTCAGGGTCTCATGCTTACTAGGCAAGTGATTTACCCCAGTCCCTTAGATTTTTTTCTTTTTTAGTTTGTTTTTCAGAGAGGCTCCAGTGCTGTTGCCTGGGCAGGCCTCAGACCTATTCTCCTACCTACTCCTCCCAAATAGCTGGGACCACAGGCATACACCACCATGCCCACTTTATTTTGTTGAGATGGGGTCTCATTAACTTTTTGCCATGTCTGGCCTTGAACCTCAACCCTCCCCATCCCTGCCACCCAAGAGAATCTGGGATTATAGGTGTGGCCCACCTGGCTCTGTTTCTCTTCTCATAAAGCCACTAGAGTTCAATCATGAGGGGCTCCCACCTATGTTAACCCAATTACTTTCCAAAGGTTCCACTTCTCAACACCACAGCCTCTACCCTCTTTCATTTTTTTTTTTGGTGGGGGCTTGGGTTTGAACTCAGGGCTTCGCTCTTACAAAGCAGGTGCTTTACCACTTGAGCCGCACCTTCAGTTCATTTTGCTGTTTATTCTGGAGATGGGGTCTTGAAAACTACTTACCTGGACTGTCCTCAAATTACAATCCTCCTGATCTCAGCCTTCCATGTAGCTAGGATTTCAGATGTGAGCCACCACCACCTGACAGCTTCTATGCTCTTAATATGATTAATGTACAACTTTAGGAATTAAACTTCTGTATGAGATGGTGGGAGGCACAAGCCATATTCAAACCATAGCAAGTGGGCTACTTCTAAGTTTTCATTGGTTCTGAGGTCAGAAAAGGAGACAGGAAGCAGTGAAGATGATGGTGGCCACTTTTAAATCCTATCCTACCAGGCATGGTCATGCACATCTGTAATCTCAGCTCTCAGGAGGCTGAGGCAGGATGTTGGTGAGTTTGAGGCCAGCCTGTGTTACACAGACCTATCTCAAACAAACAAAACCCTTATGCATAGCACTGTGGAGAAAGTGAAAATGTACCATTTCCAGTATCTTCTCTTGTGGCATTTGAGTTGGAGATTAGACATGGTCATGCATTATTCAACCTTGTATCATTGGGACTTCCCCAAAAGCTGGGCATATAATAAGGGTGCCACCAAGGTTAGCTAAGTGGATAAAAGATTGAGTTAATGAATATGTTAAGTATCAAAGTGGGGATTTAGTGGGGATGAATAGCCCATTGTTTCGGAGTGGAATTATCCTTCTTGTAGACAGATTTTAAGGTCCAAGAATGTGGATTTCACCCGAAAGATTTTATCAGATTATATAGCATGGAATGTCATTCTGGCAGCAGTGTGCAGAATAAACTAGGAGGGAGGGTTTGGTACTGGAGGCAAAAAAAAAAAAAATCTTTTAAGAATATCAAGGAGCCAGGCACAGTGGCACAGACCTGTCAGAATTCCAGCCTTCTGGAGGCTGAGGGAGGATCACGAGTTCAAGGCCAGCCTTGTGTAATGTAGGGAGACTCTCTCTCTCTCTCTCTCTCTCTCTCTCTCTCACACACACACACACACACATATACAAGCAACGAGAAGGTTTTATATTTTTTCTATTATAAAGGAGGACCCAGTTTAGGGGAGGTGAGCTTGGGCTAGGTGACAATGATGACACACGTGGAAACTCCAGCAGGATCAGAAGTCTTTAGATCGGTCGCCACTTGAGGGGGACGTTGGAAAGTAGCAGCGGAGAGAATGCGTAGGACGTCTACACCTACTCCTGGAGTTCCTGGGTTTTATTAGTAAGCCAATGAGACGCGGTGACGATGGCGCCTGCGGTAGCAACGAACTTGTGCACACGCAGAATCCCGCTGGATACAAGCCACAGCCCGAGATGACAAGGTGGTGTAGACTCTCGAATCTTGCTCTTCAGGGCTGACTCCACCTTCTTCCGGGAGCAACACCGAGTCAGCTCAGAGACTCAGAGACCTCCGGAGGAAGTGCGCCTGTCGTCACTCCGGGAATCCCGGGGGCGCGACGGGGCGGGGCGCGCGCCAGTCTCCTCCCCGCGACCACGCCCACTGGGCGGTACCCACCCCGGCCCCGCCCCCGGAGCGCGCAGGGCGCGGGTGGGGTGAGCTGGGCCGCAAGGGTGGGCTGGGAAGCGGGGTCACGTCAAGCGCCGTAGACAAAGGCGGGCGCGCGCACGTCCTTACGCACGCCTCGGCCGGCGCTGCGGGCAGGGCGGAGGGACCGTCGCCGAGGACTTGGGAACCGGAGCCTCGCCGCGGGTGAGTAGGGGCAAGCCGGTCCCTCCCAGAGGCCCTCGGACCGAAGCCGGGCGCGGTGTCGAGCACCGCACGAGGGGTCCGCGGCTGAGACGCCCCACGACGCCGCTCCGCGTCGGGAGGCTCCATCGCGCTTCTTGGGGATCCCGGCCGGGTGGGGCGCCTCCCGCCGGGGCGCGGGCCCGGCCTCCTCACCCTCCCTCCGCGTCCCTCCCTCGGCTGTCCACCCCCACCCCCCGCGGCCACGCAGCCTCATGCCGCGCGGTGCGGACGGCGGATGGCCAGGGCTGCCTGGGCGGTAGGTCACGTGGAGGCGCCTTCACCTGTAATGCCTCTTGTGTGCTCTTCCCCGGGATGCACACTTCCCTTTCGTGGTTCCTCATTTCCTTTCTTGAGCCTCTGAGCTCCCGGTCCTCCTACCTTTCCGTCTGGATTCCGCGCCCTATTACCCTCCCCAGGCTCTAGTTCTTTTCTCCACTTCCCACCTCGCAGGGGCTTTAACTTCAGCAACTCAAAAGTTGTGGGAAATCCGCTACGAGAACGTGGTGCAGCTCCCGGGAAAGTCCGTTCCTCTCCTGCGCCTTTGCCCCTCCGCCGTCAGTTAGTAACCTCCGCCTTCAGTTAGTAACGCATGGCCTTGGAATCACTCGAATTTGCCTCTGGTTCGTTCCCCTTGATTTTCGCTGGACTTTAGGAACCTCTGCTTAGTATTGTGTCTTGGAGAGTCTGTCAACCCAAAGAAGATGGTATGAAAAACAGTTATACTGTAGCCAAAGACTGTATTGACAGATTTCTGTAATTCTGCTGGTCATGTATCTTGAAAGCTATGTGTTGTGAAGAATTTCTAACTACAAAAGCAGTTAGAATAGTGAGCCAGCTGGACCCACCATCCAGCCTCAGCAGGTCACTTACGGCCAACCCTGTCTCCTCCACATCCTCATCCATTTCTCTGGGATGTCTCAGTAATTTTTTTTTCTTTTTCTTTTTTTTTTTTTTTTTGAGTGTTGGGTCATTGAATCCAGGGCCTGGTGCGAAAGTGCGGTGCTACATCCCAGTCCCAGAGAGGAATTGAGATTCAAAATAAAAATCTTAGTGTCATATAAAGTCATAATGTACTTTTATTAGAACCCAGTCTACTATCGTTAAGTCCCTCAGCTAAGAAACCTATAGGAAGAGTTGGAGAAAGATCAGAGAAGGGAACCTAATGATCAAGCTGCTGGGAAACAGATGAAAACAAAAAATATTTCTGATCTGGATGAGAACTTCCAAATCTTCTTGCCCAGCCTTTTTAGTTTTGAGTTTTCACGATCCAGGGAGGTTCAGTGACTTGTCCAGACCTATAATATAAGAAGCCCACTAAGGCTGGAAACACCCTCCAGTCTTCCAGCTCTGTATCCAGTCTTCTCTTTGCTGGCCTTTCAGTTGTTTCCTTCAGGAAGGAAATGGTTAGGGGATCATGACTGAAAACTCTTAGTTTATGAAGGATTTGTATAGGTACACAAGCTTTCTCACCGAATTCCAGAAGAGTAAAACAGAAATATGCCTCAAATTCTTTTAAAAATAGATTTGGGACAAATGAGAAGTTCTAATTACAGTGTTTAGAAGACTTGGGAAAATACTGATTGGGTTATTTTGGAGATGGGATCTTTCGAAGTGTTTGGGTAGGCTGGCCTAAGAAGGTGATAACTCCCTATCTCAGCTTCCCAAGAAGCCAGGATTACAGGCATGAGTCACCAGCACTGGGCATCACAGCTCTTTAATAGAGTTATTGAGGGGGTCGTGCTGGATATGTGGCCCAGTGGTAGAGTGCTTGCCTGGCACGTATGAGGCCTTGGTTTGATCTCCAGCACTGCTAAAGATAAAAGAGTTACTAAGGGAAACTAGACTGATTGGGTTTGATTTGTTTTGTTTTGAGACAGCCTTGCTTGGTAGCCTAGCCTGTCATCCTCGTACTCCAGCTTCCTGAGTGCTGGGTGTTTTTAGTCTTGATTACTGAGAGAACAATAGTATCCTCCTAGAAGTCCTTTCATGCTGTAACTGATGAGAATCTGGGAGGCATGAACCAAAACATGGTATGCCCCAGTAAAACAATTAAAAAGAAAGTCTGAAACTAATTTAAAAAAAAATGGCATGCATTTCCTAGCAAACTTTATGCTGTTAAAAGTTAAATTCCTTGTCTCAAGAAAGGCATAAGCATAAATTCAGTATAGTCATCACTTAATGACAGGGATATGTTCTGAGAAATGCATCATTAGGAGGTTTTTGTCTTTGAAACACTGTAGATGGCTGTGGTGTCACTAGATAGGAGTCTTATAGGACCACTGCCCTAAAGGTGGTCCATCATTGACCAAAAAGACTAGTTTTACTTGTGCCTCAATTTTCTTACCCTTAGTATGGAGGTATTCTACTTCTCCAAAGAGTGCCACAAACAAGCAAGTCCCACATGTTAGACTTCTTCAGGTTTCCATATAAGTTCAGGTTCTTCATATGATGTGACATAATTATAACTTTACTTTTAGAGTGGGCTTTTCTTTTGTGAGTTTCTGGCCAAAAACAAGATTTGTCCTGCACATGAAGCTTATGGACATCTCACACCTAGTTGTCATAAGTCATTATCCCTAGAGATGGGAGTGGGGGAGACTTTATTTTGTATGGTGTGGTGAAAGAGTGCTATGACTAGTCTGTTACCGTTCTAGCCTAATCTGCTGAGGGCTTCCTGCTAATGAATAAACCATTTTTCTCACCTGGATGCATATCACCAAAAGCTATTTTCAAAGAAAATTTCTTGCTTTCTGGATATTAATTGGGGCTGGTGAAGCATGGACAGTTGCTTCTTCAGGTAAAATAGAACTTCATTCTTCATGTCATTTACTTCTTACTACATCATGATGGAAAGTGATCCATTACATATGTCATTAAGCTACATAATAGTGCCTCATTAGTACAATTAATGCTCTGTAAGAGGTTGTTTTCCTAGCTTTTGTGGTGCTGAGGGTCGAACCTGGGGCCTTGTATATGTTAAGCAGGCACCCTACCCCTAAGCCACATATCTAGCCCTTCCTAACTTTTTTTTTTTTTTTTTTTTTTTTTGGTGTTAGAGTTTGAACTTAGAGCCTCAAGCTTGCTAGGTAGGTGCTGTATCACTTGAGCCACTTTCCCCCACCCCTACCCCTGCCTCACTTTTTGAATGAAGAAAAAGAAACCTAAAGGAAACCTAAATCAAGGGAAGCCAGATTACTTATTCAGGGTTACATAGACCAGATAGCAACAGCTGTGCCTAAAACCAGAGAAAGTTGTCAGTACCAAAATGGAATCAGTTAGGTTAGATCCTAGCAAAATGGAGTTGGGAAACTATAAAGCAAAGGCTGTCATGCACAAGAGCCTGTCACAATGACTGTGAAAGCCACTCCTGAAAGAGTGCTAATGTGAGGATGTCTACCAAGCAACTGCTTCTGCAACCTTAGACCGAGGCCACACTAATACTGATTCTTGTAGCCAGGGATGATTATTTTAAAACAACTTATGCAGTCCTCTCCCTTACACCTTTAACAACTCCTGTCCTCCTTTACCTCTCTGAGTATGCCTGTGATCTGCCATATAGCCTGCATCCCCAATTGCAAGTTGCTACTTGTTCTTGAACAAAACCATGGCATTCCGAGAGACTGCTCTATCAGGAGACCCCTGTCTCCAGTGCTTATTTAGCTTTCTGCTGCACCGTTTTCCTCACACTTCAGAGGAGTAAATAAGGAGAGGCAGTATCATCTGTTTTTCTCCCTACCCGTTGGAAATGTATTATTTTCATTTCAATCTCCTTTAAAAATATTTGATCAGTACAGTCTACTGGAAATAAGATTATATACATTATTTTATTTTATTTTATTTTTCATTTTTCTTTTATTATTCATATGTGCATACAAGGCTTGGGTCATTTCTCCCCCCTGCCCCCACCCCCTCCCTTACCACCCACTCCGCCCCCTCCCTCTCCCCCCCCAATACCCAGCAGAAACTATTTTGCCCTTATTTCTAATTTTGTTGTAGAGAGAGTATAAGCAATAATAGGGAGGAACAAGGGTTTTTGCTGGTTGAGATAAGGATAGCTATACAGGGCATTGACTCACATTGATTTCCTGTGCATGGGTGTTACCTTCTAGGTTAATTCTTTTTGATCTAACCTTTTCTCTAGTTCCTGGTCCCCTTTTCCTATTGGCCTCAGTTGCTTTGAGGTATCTGCTTTAGTTTCTCTGCGTTAAGGGCAACAAATGCTAGCTAGTTTTTTAGGTGTCTTACCTATCCTCACCCCTCCCTTGTGTGCTCTCGCTTTTATCATGTGCTCAAAGTCCAATCCCCTTGTTGTGTTTGCCCTTGATCTAATGTCCACATATGAGGGAGAACATACGATTTTTGGTCTTTTGAAGCCAGGCTAACCTCACTCAGAATGATGTTCTCCAATTCCATCCATTTACCAGCGAATGATGACATTTCGTTCTTCTTCATGGCTGCATAAAATTCCATTGTGTATAGATACCACATTTTCTTAATCCATTCGTCAGTGCTGGGGCATCTTGGCTGTTTCCATAACTTGGCTATTGTGAATAGTGCCGCAATAAACATGGATATGCAGGTGCCTCTGGAGTAACAGTCTTTTGGGTATATCCCCAAGAGTGGTATTGCTGGATCAAATGGTAGATTGATGTCCAGCTTTTTAAGTAGCCTCCAGATTTTTTTCCAGAGTGGTTGTACTAGTCTACATTCCCACCAACAGTGTAAGAGGGTTCCTTTTTCCCCGCATCATCGCCAACACCTGTTGTTGGTGGTGTTGCTGATGATGGCTATTCTAACAGGGGTGAGGTGGAATCTTAGCGTGGTTTTAATTTGCATTTCCTTTATTGCTAGAGATGGTGAGCATTTTTTCATGTGTTTTCTGGCCATTTGAATTTCTTCTTTTGAGAAAGTTCTGTTTAGTTCACATGCCCATTTCTTTATTGGTTCATTAGTTTTGGGAGAATTTAGTTTTTTAAGTTCCCTGTATATACATCATTTTAAATTTATACATCTAAGTAGCTGCTTTAAAAAGAAAGTGATTGATTGATTTAATCATTCCACAATGTATACATACATCAAATCATCACATTGAACCCCATATATACAATTATTGTCAATTATTTTTAAAACATAAACGTATATAGATACATGTAAATTTTTTTTTGGCAGTATTAAAGATTGAACTTAGGTTTACCACTTGAGCCATGCCCTTTTTTAACTTTAGTTATTTTTTGATAGGGTCTTAAGCCTCTCGTGTAGCTGGTATTATAGGTGTGTACCCCCACACCTGGCCAAAAACTTAAATTTATGTATTTATTGTTTTTTTAATTATTTATTTGTTTGTTTATTTTGTAGTGCTGGGAATGGAGCCCAGAGCTTGTGCATGATAGGTAAGCACTGTATCCATGAGTTCCTCTGCCCTTTAAATTTTTTTTTTTTTATATCCTTTTTGTTTGTTTTGTTTTGTTTGGTACAGGGTCTTACTGTGTCACCCAGGCTGGCGTTAAACTCCAGATCCTCTTGTGTCTGCTTCCCTAGTACTGGTAGTGTACCACCACACCTGCCCTAAAAAAATTTAAGTAGACAGTTGAAAATACTTTTGCTAATTTATTTAACCCGGTTTATCCAGATTGTCACATCACTGTGTAGTTATTGCAAAAATTATTAAAGAGAACACTTACATGCAGCTTTTCATACTGTCATTGAACTCTGAGCATAGTTTGTGTGTATAGCACATTATAGCACATTTTTAGTGCCCCAGGGTCACTGCTCTGTTGCACTGCACAGCATCAGTGTTAGTGGGACATAAAAGATGAAGGAGCATTTGATTTTGCTTAGTAACATTCACTTCTGAGGTTAGAGTTTGTGGTTGTGGTTATGGGGTTTGTTCTTTCATGTTTAAGTGATTTTCTTTGTACAACTAGGATTATTTTGAGTTTGTGGACTTGAACCAAGAAGTCTGATGTCACAAATTTTGTGCCTTTGTGGTGAAACTCATACTCCCTCTTTCTCCTCTTTCTCTTTCTGTCTTTTTCTCTCTCTGTGGAATGGTCAGGTTCACTTTTTCTTTAACTGTCTCAATAATTTTTAAGCGTACAGTTCAGTAGTAATGCTTTCATGTCTTATTTAAATAAGACTACTCAGCTTAATCCTCCCTCTGGCAAAACTTTAAAAATGGGCAGTAACAACTCAATAATAAAATAAACTAAATGGGCAAATAGATAAAGGGCAAAAGACTTGGACACTTTACCAAAGAAGACATGTAGATAGCAAATAAGCATGAAAAAGTATTCCAGTCATTACTTATTAGGGAATGCACATTGGAATGATTAGATCCTGGCTGGATCAATCTACCCAGAACATGGATATTGGGAGGGTGCAGGCCTGGGCAAAAAAGTTTAAGAGACCCCATCTTGGCTGGGTGCAGTGCTTCACGCCCAGTTTTGTAAATAGGAGGATCTTGGTTAGGGGCCAGTTCAGACATAAAGTGAGACCCTATCTCAAAAATACTAAAGGGAAAAGGGCTGGAAGGCATGGATCAAGTGGTAGAGCACCTGCTTAGCTAGTGTGAGGCCATGAGTTCAAATCCAATACCACCAAAATGTTAGATCCCACTTCACACCCATGCCTAAAATTAGAGGAAGTGTTGGTGAGAATTGTAGAGCAGTTGGAACTTCCTGCACTGCTGGTAGGAATACAAAAATACTACAACCAATTTAGAAAAGAGTTTTGCAGGTTTACAAAAAAAACGAATGTCATTCCACTCCTACCTTAGTCATTCCACTCCTAGGTACTTAACTCTAGAGAAATGAAAGGATATGTCCCATACAGCTTATGGATAGCAGCTTTCTTTATATTATTACCAAACTGGGACTACTGGAATGTCCTTCAGTAGATGAGCGCGTAAACAAATTCTAGGGCTGGAGGTGTGGCTCATGCGGTAGAGCGCCTGCCTAGCAAGCGTGAAGCCCTGAATTCAAACCCCACTACCACCAAAAAACCAATAAACAAATTCTGGTGTGTTTATCTGATAAAAATGAATGAACCATTGACACATGCAGCAACATGAATGACTCTCAAAATAATTACACTGAATAAAAGAAAACAAAGGGTTTTTTGTTTGTTTGTTTGTTTGTTTGTTAAAAAAAAAAACCACCCAAATGTTAAAGGGCCAGTTTTGAAATGGAGCAATCAGAGTAGTACTCAGATTGGTAATGAAACATCTTAGCTCTTAGAGCCTCAGCACATCAAATTTTCCTTTTTTTTTTTTTTTTTATTCCAGAGATGGAACTCAGGACCTTATGCATGTTGGCAACTGTTCTTCTGAGCTACACTCCCAGCCCTTCGTGTTTTGAAACAGGGACTCCCTGTGTAGCCTAGGGCTGGCCTTGAATTCAAGATCCTTCTTAATCTGCCTGCAGGATTGTAGACTTGTACCACCATGTCTGGCCCAAATTATTATTTTTTGTAGTGCTGAAGATCAAAATGTCTTTTGTCTTCCACCCTCCCCCTTCAAGAGACTGTTATATTGTTTGGCATGAACTTGATGTGCTGTGTTACTTACTATCCAGTGCTAAGTGAGGTCAAAATGACTTTAGATAAAACCAGGGCCCTGACGCTGACCACATTCTGTCTTCTTCCTGGCGCTTTGTCATCCTTGGCCTGTTGTATCCTGGCTCTATCTTGGATGATGCATCTATCCAGGATCAACGTCAGCTGAGTGTATTCTGGTTTCTTGGCACTCGGGGTTCTTTAACCCCATAGCTCTGAGTACTGTTTTCCCACTGAGCAGCAGCATCCTTTGAGCAGACATCTACTTCATTGCTGCCATACACTGGACACTGAATCAGCCCATCACACATTTCCTTTGTGCCTGTGTATGTGAGCATGTTTGTTCAGCATCACATCAGAAATAGGTATTTGGACATTTCGGAGGTCTCGATCTTGACAGAGTAGATGGGAGAATGGTGGCTTTTCTCTGAAGCATAACCCATCTAGTGGCAAATGTGAGGTCTGCCTGCGGAGCACCTGAGTCCTGTCCTGCTTGTAGGGTTCTGTAACTTGTGTCAGTCATTTAACCCTTCCCAGCCTCAGGGACTAGAGCCGTAAGATGAGGCTGGAGTAGAATTCTCAGTCTTCACTTAACCAAAAACCTTGCTTGGTGGTGTTGGTTAATGGCTGTGCCACCCATTTATGGAGCACTTTTCTCAAGTGCTACACTGATAGCTTGATATGCATTATCATGTCACAGCATTCCCATGGAGTATATGTTGCTCCCATTTTGCAGATGAGAACACTGAAGTTATTGAAATAACTGAATGAATGTACTTGAAAGTAATGGAGGCTGGTTTTCAATGCAGCTTGTCTGACTCCTTGTATGTTTAGCCATTCTGCTTTACTGCTTCCTTGACATTCCATAATTTTTGCTGTTGTTCGTTACTAGGGAGACAGTCTCCTGGTGTAGCCCAGGCTGGCCTGGCACTCACTGTGGAGCCGAACTCAAGAATAACTCCATGTTTGGTTCTTTAATGGGTTTATTGAGATAAAGCTCACATACTGTACTACTTACCCATTTAAGTAGTTTTTACTATACTCACAATATGTGCGGTTTTAAGTTTTTTGTTTTTGGTGGGACTTGGGTTTGAACTTGGGCTTCACACTTGCAAGGCAGGTGCTCTACCATCTGAGCCAGTCCATGTTTGCTCTGGTTATTTTGGAGATGGGGTCTGGCAAGCTATTTGCCTGTGCTGGCCTCAAACCTCAATCCTCCCAGCCTCAGCCTCCCAAGTACTAGGATTAGAAGCATGAGCCACAGGTGCCTGGCTCACCACAGCCAATATTAAAATGTTCTCGCTGCTTCAAGAAGAAACCACACCTTTTACCACTCCCAGTCTCCCCACTCTCCCCAGCCCTAAGCACTAATATACTTTCTGTCAATTGCATATAAATGGATTTATATGATTTATGGTCTTTGGTGACTGGCTTCTTCCACTTAGTGTGATATTTGGAAGGTTCATCCATGTGTAGTATGTCTCAGTATTTCATTCTGTTTTATGGCCAAATAATATTCCTTTGTGTAGTTACACCACATTTTATTTATCATTTATCAATTGTTAGGCTTTTGGTTTCCATCTTTGGCTATTCTGAATAATGTTTAAGCATTCATGTTTAACTTTTTAATGCAATTTTTATGTCTTTTGGGTATATACCTAGGAATGGAATTACTAGGTCAGGTAGTGACTCTGCTTAACTCTTTTCCCAAGGTAACTGCAGTCTTACATTCCTACTAGTGGTATATGAAAGATGGTTTTTTTGAGGGGGTAGGAGGAATGCTGGAGATTGAACCCAGGTCTTTGCATATGCTACGCACATGTTGTACCACTGATCTGTACCCCCAGCCCCAAGGGTTGGATTCTTAATATTGAACTAAAATTTGCACCCACTAACTGCCAGTCCTAATACCAGTTCTTTTGCCTCAAGAATGTCCTGACCAAATCTGCTTTTCTGAGATGACAGCTAGCTTGATTTAATCTTTTTTTTTTTTTATTGGGTTTGAACTCAGGGCCTCATGCTTAGTATGCAGGCGCTCTACCACTTGAGCCATTCCATCAACCATGACTTTAGTTGGATTTTTCGAGATAGTGTCTCTTGAACTATTTGCCTTGGGCTGGCTTTGAGCCAAGATCCTCCTAATCTCTGCCTCCTGAGTACCTAGGATTATAGTGGGCCACCAGTACCTGGCATGGCTTGATTTTTTTTTTTTTTTTTTTTTTAACAGGGTCTCACCAACTTTTGACCAGGCTGGACTCAAACCATGATTCTCCCAACTCGATCTCTGATTGTAGTGTTTGTGCTCCTAGATGCATTTCTAGATCTCATCAGCTCACTTATGACCGAACTTAGTTTGTCTCTATTTCCTCCCCCCTTTTTAGTTAGAGAATGAGATACATTTTATTTATTGGTAGAGATAGCAGTTACACTTGCTTCTTGCTGAGTTAGCTGGTCATAATCCTTAACCCAGCTCCAGCTACATATTGGAATCACTGCAGTCTTTCACAAATCTAGACTTGTTCTTCTGATATGTAAGAAACTAGATCTGTCTTGTGACTTTTCTCTTATCACAGGAAGCTCAGTAGAGCAGGCCTGGTATGAAGGAAGCGTTCATTTATTTCAGGGTAGCTTGGGAGGTGGGAAGGCACAGTGGCTAAAGAGCCTGGGCTCAGAGACAGAGGCACTTGTCCGGATTCTTGCTCTACCACTGTGCACCCATGTGATCCTGGGAAATTTACTTCATGTCCTAAGCCTGATTAAGTATTAGCACTCTCCCACCCACAGAGATTCCGCTCAATTCATCTGGGCTAAGCCCGGGTGATTCAGGTGTGCACCCTGG